CAGAATGTAGTTTCGGCCTTCTAATTGGTGCACGTCTCCCATTGGCGCATACGCCTTGATGGTCCTTACCAGCCTCTAATCCCATCGTCCTCGTTGCTTGCGCGGACAACGCACTCAGCGCGTGTGACTTATGATGTACTAGGTCTGCCGTAGTCCGGTTCACCGGCGATTTCAATGAAGTCTCCTCCCTTCTTACACAGTAGCCGCTGTCTGTTCCTTCCTCCTATCCTCCTCCTCCTCCTCTCCCAAGTCCGCTGTACTCCCGCAGCGGCAGTTGCTCTTCAAGATAGGGATAGTGGAATCCATTCTCACCCCTTCTTTGCCCTCAACACAAATCCCTGTCACGATGACCCCTCATTGTGCTTTTCAGTGCCCTCTGCGCCCCAGAATCTCCGGGTGATTCAAATGCGTCGAGAGAGCGCCAGTTCGGGCCAAGTGGATGCTCCCCAGTCTGATTACATTGTCCTAGAACTGAAGTGGAACCCGCCCGCGGATACCTACGGTGAACTCAAGGGCTATCAGGTTTCCTATCGGTTAATCGGACCGCCTGAATTGCTGCAGGAGGAGGCTGCAAGTGGCGGTGGTGGTCCTCATTCTGAGAGAACACCTCAGACACATGCCGTCCGACGTAATGTGACGGACACTTCCTACACATCAACACAAATAGACAATATTCGTGAGTCTGCGCTATTTGGTTGCGTTTGGTGTATATGCAGTATGTCTTGAATCAGTAAGGTGGTTTAACTCTTACAATCTGCCTTTTATTCGAAGAGTATTTAAATAAAAAGTACGATTGTGATCAGGTTTCGATGATGGTGCTATAAACTAAAGAACCAAACGCTTTATGGAAGATTGAGAAAATCTGATCTTCTTGAGCACTGGATATCTAATTCAGGAAGTCATAGAATCACGCCTGTGTCTAGATGGGTTGCTCTTAGTCAGGCTTTTAGTTGACGTCTTGCCTGCCACCTTCAGTTAGGCACTGACATTGCATGAAGAAGCTACACCACCCTTACGGAATGGACGCGGAAAATTTGTCAAAATCGCCTTTGTTATCCATCCAGAATGGCGTGACATATGCTCTCACAGGCAGTGCATTGCACCCAGAAGTTGGTTTTAGGGCAACGCAAGTTAAGCGTAAGTTCGCTTTCACCCCCATGCATACAGTTCAGTATTCACAACCACTCAGGGGGACTGATTGGACAAATCACGCGGGTCCTTGCGGCAACATAAATAACGTGGTCGGTCCATTAATCATTTCTAAATCTTATAAAAAATCTGCGATTAGCGTTGAGTCGACCGACAATATCCTTCCTTCTCCAGCCATTTGGCTGCGAATTCAGGCGACTTAACAGAAACTGTCTATTTTTCCAGCCAAAAGCCACTAGTACCGCGGTGTACATTCTCTTGGTCGGAGATTCAGTCCAAAGACACTACGACGCTGATTGGCGAGTCGGCTGATCTAGTGACCGGGTTAACTAGAGACTTCATATTCAGTAGTATATAGTGCAGTCATTGAGCGATCTCATAATGCACTGGCCGAACTTCTGGAATGTGTTTAGAATTAAAAGGATTACTAAAGTGAGACTCTAACGTTATTTACCGTGCAGCGTAGTCAGTCGCGTCAGCATATCGGCCATTGAATGCGCGTATTTTCAGCCGCCAGAAAGGACTGCCGGCAGTAAAAGGTGGCTACTTAAGGAGTTTGCATGTGTGGTATTGGTTTCCGATGTCCTTCTGGAATCAAATATGTTTTTATAAAACAGGAACATAAATATCCTTCGTTGTACCCGTTCGGTAGTCAGTCACGTGCTCTTCAATTTTCGCACTCGTAGAAAAGGTATCTATCTGTTTTAAAAAGTTTTTTAATTAACCGATTGTTTAGGTCGGCACAACGTCCATTCAAATAGCATCATATCTATCCATTTACTTAAACTACTCATAGGATATAACACCCATCCATTGCACAATTTTATCGAGTCCTGTATGGTATCTTACAAGTGGCACAAAGGAATACTTGATTTTTTACACGTAAAATGCACAGCCCGTCGACTGATAACTCCTAAATACAAGGGTAGATCATGCTGAAAATTGTCTGAAAATTAATGTGCTTTTTAAAAATTAAGTATACACTTCTTTCGAGCATAATATATGAAGACAAATGGACTTCTTATTAAACTGGTGTAATGAGAGATAGATCTGCGCATATTTTCTGCAAAGTGAAATCGAATGTAGTAGGATATCAAAAATCAGTTGAAAATGCATACTGCTTAAGTAGCCACGTCCGACTTGGTGTTATTTTTGCAGATGTTCGGGAAAAACCAGGCGTGTCTGAAATATCATGTAGTTATGCTGCACAACCATCTATATTATAACCCCACTTAAGTGATCCCTCCTTATCATAAAAACATTTCAGAATTTTGATTACCATTTCGTGGGGATCGGTCACTAGACGAACGTTTGTGACAGGGGATTAAGGACCTCAAGTGTTGGGTTCAAGGTTCGAGTTAGAATTAGGACAAGAGAATAGGCATCAATTTGGAATTTCGCTCAAGGTCACCTGTAATGCGGGGGTCCTAACTCCCTGTCCAACCTTAAACAATATCGCCGACTTAGTCAAGGTCAGTCAGCTAGCCTGATATAGCTCTTCTGTCATTACCAAAAATGCGAAGGGCTCTCCGGTGAATCCAGTCAGTAATTATCAATTTCTGTCCCGAGAGGTTTAGGAATCTTCAGAATTCTTGTCTTTGAAACATCGATGCTAACGCAAAGTATTGCAGCCGGTATTTCATACGCCACTTCAAAGTGGTTCCAATTTCTGCATGGGGCCTGAGGGCGGATCATCCTTTAATGCAAGAACACGTCATAAAGCAAGTCATCGCTAGAATGGGACGGTAGCATGAAAGAGTTACTAATCTGATTCCAGGCTACAGCTACGGGCTGGCGTTTGAAAAACACGAGAACAACACTTAGACGAGGGCGCATGCAAATAGTTAATTAATTCGGCTAAATGATGGGGGCCCTCGGACAAACTCCATCCGCCAACGCCCCGCAGAATTCGCGCCGGGGGTACCACATCCCGAGCTGCCAGCGCCACGCCTTGCTGCGATGTGAATCACCGTTACCCCCTACTAAATATCGGTGAGGATAACACGCTTTTCAGTCTGTAGTTGGTTGTAGCCAAAGTGGATTGCGTCTGAGGCCACCCGAGTATGTTGTTCACCGATAAACCCCGATTTAAAAGTCGAGATGGGCATTTCCTGTTAGGCATGCCAAGCCAGTAAATAGACATCTCTAGCCTTTCTTGGCGATTAATTTCAATTTATTCTTTCATAAGGCAGACGGTTTGTGGCAAATGCACCACCGGGGTTATTTTGCTTTTTATGGAAAATAGAGAGGAGACCAAATTAAATTAGATTAACCGGAAAATGCTTTGTTTATGTTCTTCTGTCCTTCCCCATTGAAAATCCGTCATTGTGGCGCTTCATAAACAGAAACCGTTTGAATAACTGAAAAACGAACAATAAATTCTATTTATCCCCAACGCTTTTTTAACATTTTTTAAGCTGCCGACCATTTCTAATGTAGCACAGATGTATCCCACCTATTTAATTTAAATGGAGTAAAAAGTTACTTGCTTGGGCGAACAATTGTGCTAAAAGAGAATAACTGACGATATTTATTTGTACATGCCAGAAGAAGAATTAAAAAGACCTAGCGGCGCAGGTTGCGTAAGGGTTGTCAAGATGTTTTAACGTAGTCATCAGAGTAAAAATACGACAATGTAATACCTTTTTGGCAACGCCTTCATAGGGGCTATGAATTTATTTATTATTATTATCATTTAATGTCAAAGTATAGTGTCGCCTTTGGATTGGTGACAATATGGAGGATCAGAATTTGTAAAACCACAAAGATTTAGGATGTTTAGCTCTCCTGCCCTAGACAAATACTCCTCAGAGCAAGTAGCCCCGGCAAAAAACACACACTTACGAAAACTTACTAAATATTGAGCGAATTCTCACTGGTTTTATGACCATAGCCCAAATGGAATTCTTTCAAACATATGAACGACCGTATTTGCCATTGAACTGTTTCATAGACCAATTGGCTACATACGTGAAGGAGCACGTAATACTAGTCTAATGAGCCTGAACAGTTATCTGCACATTTGCTGTTGATGTGGATCTGTAACAAATAAATTAAAAAGCTGCGGTAATCGCTGCAATTTCATTAGGGGTGTTGGATGTTGGTATGATGATTGCTCGACCATCTGACCCACCGACTCTGACGTTGGGAACAGTGTTCGCATGTGAGTTCCCCGCGTGACTAATTACTCCGCTTAGGCGAAGCCTCAGCAAGGAGTATGGGAGGGGAAGGTCGTTACATCTTATCCGAGACTATGTCACTTTTTGCTTTCACGCTCACGTTAGCCAGCGGCACCATTTCCGATTGTCTTTTGGTAAAACGGCTTTACCAGGAAAGGCAGAAATGTCTTTTGGATACTGTTCATTACATTTTGACTCTGAATTTCAGTGATTACAGCAGTGCTCTATTTGTCGCCACAGCGGTAGAATAGAAGGCAACTTTTATTTGCCTCTAAATGGATTTGCCAGACGAATAAGCACCCTATGAAACACACTTTGGGCGGTCCATTGAACACATGGTAGGTCTGGTTGATAAAACATTAGATACCGCTTTTGACAGAGTTTTTCTATAGAAAAATGAAATATTTTCAAACAAAATATAACTATATTAAAAAGGGAATACTAGTACCGACTTGCATGTGCACTCCGTCCTCAAATTTGTACACCTAAAGGCCAGAATGTCCTTCTGGAAGAATGACAACGCGATCAGTGCGCACCGCCCTCTACCATTATTGTCGTTGGACTGTTTTATGGGGGGAGGGAGTTTAATGCTTAGTAGGATTTGTCGCAAGGGTTGACTTGCTAAAAACATTTCAGTCAGCTGAATAAGGCTATACTCTAGCGGACGATTACAACCATTTGTATTGGTCACTTTATGCTTTTGAGAGATTGCTAAGGGTGACGAATCTGAGTAATGCAATCTACTGTTCAGGACGAAACGAAAATTCTAAGATATTATGCCATTAATTTGGCCAACTAATGTAGAAACTCATTTATTTAGCCTCCATCTCAGCATACTGGACTGAAGTTAAAGCGTCGTAATTCATAACAATGCCGAGATGAATTATGTGGAGGTAAATGTGAAGTCGTCGGTCGCTTAGAATTAAAAACACGGAGGAATTATTCTTCTATACAATGGAAAACCACGCAAAGCCTATTTAATATACCTAAGACTCGTTTATCCTCGATTGTGAAAATGCCTTTTTGTTTACTGGCTGTGCTTCGACGAAGCGCAGTATAATAGCCTAGTAACTTTGAAATAGTACTTCGAGGCATCTCTGCTTCAAGGCTTTGTTGGATTTGCGTAAACATACCCTCTTTTGACCACCCCAGTTTAATGTCGGTGCAATTCGGGAAACAGACACGCGTGGGTTACTTCCGTTATTTTGCAGTTGACAGTCCTTACTGTTTTGCGCGTTGAAATCATAATAGTTTTGTCTGAAACCTGTCCGCTTTGCGTCCTTTGACTTTGAACTTCGTCTACGAAAGCATCTGTTTCTGACTTCCTTTCGTAAACTAAGCGCACATTAGGAAAAATATGAAAACATAGAAAACCAAATTCAAAGCAATCGCGCATATCGCAATACGTCGGGCAGAAATTTGTACTTAACGTCGTTTATTTTTAAAAACCCTAATAGCGCAAGGTAGAGAAGGCGTAAGTTTGCCCAAACTTTAAGTCTCCGCCACAATTCCAGGCCCGAATTTGAGGATTACTGAACTTATGCACATTGGTATTTATGGAAACGATGCCGTTTGTCGAAGTGTCTGGAGGTTCTTTCTGCTGTTGTTGCATGCGAAAGTGGGTGGTCATTTAGTGCTCCTTTAATGAATTCTGAAGACACTGCCCTCGTGCCATGAAACTATTCATAAACGCTTCCGTCTACATACACGAGCACGACAAGTAGTCGACGTCCGTGACTCGAATATACCGAATGGCAATGGCAGTGTGCCCTAATTTTGAGACTTTAGTTAAACAATAATTTTGATGCAACGTACGCCGTTTATAACAATGGAACGGGAGAAGACTATGCGCAGTTAGCGTGCGGGCACAGGGCCTTGTCGCATGGCAAACTGATGATGACTGATAGATTACGAGTGGTGATTCTGTCATTATGCAGTATTCAGTTTCCAGACAAGGCGTGGATGTCCCCTCTTCATCCCGCAGTCACGATAAACTGGAGGTCGATAAGAAGGCGAATTTAACGTTTTGTTACTTATTTTAGCCTCAATAGCCGCTTTGCTCAGTCTCCCAATTTAGCATGTGCACTAAGTGTGTTCCGTGAAGAGAGCAACACGTACCTCAACAATATACAACCATAAATTTTTGGAAAGGTTCAGGAATGCGTGTTGGATTTTGGTAAACGGAAAGTCGTGTGTTTTTCCGCAAACAGCCTGTTTGGTCTTAGTGACCCTACCTACCAGCTTCTATGGTTCACTGGACCCAAATTTTCAGTCCAAGATGTAAATTGCATCCAGTAATTTGTCCATTTTAATTTATGGAGTTGTATCGGTGCCTGAAGAGGGAAAGAGAACGAATTTTGACACACCAAGCTCGCCCTTCCATTCCACATTCGTCCTGATTCAGCGACAAGTCAGGGTTCCCATGATCAGCGACAGATGTTGGCTGGCGTGGCGAAATCCTAGCCTACGTTTGTCGCATGTGAGTGAGACGTCGACTCTGCTCAAAGTACTCATCAATAACTCGCATTTCTCGTCAAGGAGTGTTGACTTGAAGATTATATTGACGACGAGGCATTGCTTTCCGATCCCCAGACAGCAGGTACTAAATGCCGTTCCTCGAAATTGTGAAAAATAGGACCTTCGCATGTCTTTTTGGAAGCAGTGTCTCTTTAAAATATCCGACTCTGTTTCCTTATTCGCACAAGGTCAACTTATATAGTTGCGCAATATGTTGGAAATAGGTATATCTCCTTTCTCGATCTCCGTCATGTTAGCTGCAGGGAACAGAGGACGCCCAAGTCAAGCCTGTTTGAGGAGCGAATAAAGCTGTTAAGATGATATCATAACGGGGATCTAATATGGTCTATACACCACGCAGGATATCCTTAAGACATAATGCCCACCTTTTAATTTCCTCAGAAAGTAATGGCTAACCCGGAGTAAATCAGTCTATTTAAGAATTATCAGCTCAGACAAACATTTGGTATAAATATTTTGGCCGACCATAGCGCAACAACCGCGCAATATTCATAAAATGCCAACAGGCAGCAATACAGCAATACTACCCTAGCCGGTGAGTAGAGGCGTTGACTTCTAAACCAACAGGTCGCGAGTTCGAGGCTCGGGTGTTCCACACTTCGGGCTTGGGTATGGCTGGCTGACGACGGCTACTAAGCCAGAAATGGCCATTCCAGTCTCCCTTGTCTTTGTCGGTTATAGTATTCTGCCTATATATATATGTATATAAAGTATGCAAGCGCTCACCTATCAAGTTAGAGGATGAGCCCTCCCGTTGTGTCTTGGGCCTCATTTTCCCAAAGAATTCCATCTTTTTAATTAAATTTCTTGGGATGCTGTTTTCCAATTCGTATATATATGGGCTGTGGGAGCGCTCACCGATCAGGTTACGAGATGTGCCCTCCCGTTATGTCAGGGGCCTCAATCTAGACCCCTCCCAGACAGTCACATAGCGGCTAATATTATATGCAGAAACGTGGGTACCCTGGGCATTGTCGGGATCTCCTTAACTGCATATATATGTATACAGAAATATAGGCAGCCCAAGAAATATATGCAAAGGTCTGAACAATTCTTTGGGAAGGCAGCATAAGGTATTCTACAAATGTTTGATGCAAAGGCGTCAAGTGACGCTGGCTTTCATATTGTAGTCAGAGTGCTATGACTTTTGCAGTAGTAAATCCGATATTTTGGTTGCGTTGTGTAGATGAAAGAACTATTTATTGCTAAGAAAGATCACCTGTAAGCGTTGGGCGACATTATTAACTCAGTATCTTCAATTATCGCACTTAATCCCGAAGACAAAATTGACAGAAGTGCATTCACATCTGGATGTCCTCGTAAGCCAGAAAACTGACAGAACATTTTGCACTATATGAATAACCTCCCTGTTCTTCTGAACACCAGAGCACAATAGATTGCCCAAAACGCCAGCTGTCTGCCAGGGCTTTCAAAATTAAGTTTTCGAAGGCAATTAACGCGGTAGGGAGTTCTCGGGTGTTCTCTTTTGAGTAGATGGTTGTTTATTTCCTAGTTGTGGTCTCATCTCCACATGAAAAGCAGTCGCTGATGAAAATGAATATTCACAACGAAGGCCTGAGATTAATATGCTTTTGATTTAATGAACCACCTTCTGTGACAAAACATGTCATTAGAGTGTCTTATAAACTGTTTCACTGACGAATTGCCACCCCATTTATCTGTTGCCGAAATAAAATTCAAGAAAAATAGAGACATTTTGCTCGTTTGCCCAATTTTCTGAATGATACCGATCAATTTCATTTCCAGATTAAATAACATCATTTTGTCCTTATACAGTCTTCGTTCTTCGACCTTAAATGCGCTAAAATGTGTCTAATTTGCTATTCCTCTGGTGGTTTCGTTTCTAAATTATGTATCAATGGAATTTAGTCCGTACGTGAACCATTTTGACACATGCTCAGAAGTTCAAATTACCGGTTACTAATGAGTCTTTCCGAGGTTGCAGATGGGACATTTACGCAGGTCAGGAGAATACGAATTTGTTAAAGCAACCGACGAACCGGAGGCTTTATTATTGTCTTTTTGAACGGGTATTACGTAGACTTGCAAGCAAGAATCTTGAAATAACTTGCCTATCATCACGCGGACCCATCCAAGTTACTCGAACCTAATTTCCACGTTTGTGATGATTATTCTGGTAAATCCGGTTCTGATTGTATTGATTTAATTTAATAGGAAAACGCGCAGTAGCGTACAAATGCTATCTAGGACATTTATTAGCATAGAAAATTATCTGAATATAAAGTAACATTGACTGCGGCCTATATTTGTAAGTGATTCCCTGATAAAATTACTGGCATACACATTCAGCATGAGATAGAGGCATTTTCGCGGACAGGCCAGGTTTATGAGTAAATTGCCCAACGTCCCGAAATGATCACACAGATTTTGACCATCACTTCCCATGAGTTAATGTCATCTGGTAATCCAGTTTTCGCAAGCATCTGCGGCATCACGTGTTATGAGTACGAGCTGCCGATACTCTAACCAGATGCCAATTGTAAGACGATTTTGCCTGGTTTGTAAATGCGCAGCGTTGTTGTCCATGATCCTTATGGAGGAATATCTTCGACATGTGCTATCTCATGAAATGTTGACCAAAATTTAAATATACGTTTTTGAACTGGGAAGACTGCTAAAGTAGGATCTTAATATCGATTTTCTTGCAGCACAGTTTCGAGATATTTAAGTCAACTCAGGAGGCAGACGGTCCACCAAGCTTCTTTTCAGCTATCTGCATAAACTACCCTTTGTAAAAACAGCTACACATGTAGTATGAATTGTTACCATTTATGTTCGATGCCCTTCTAAATTTAAATTTATCTCATGGTAAACATGCACAGACATATGTATGCTTCCTTCTACTCATTTGACGGCAAATCACGTTTTCTCCAGATCTAATGCCTTACGATTGAGTATCGTTCTGATTAAAGGCGCGTTTTCAATTTCGGAATAATTTCAAAACCTACTTTCCATTAAGCCGGCATTCAAGGTTTCCAAACTAGAAGCTGTGGGCTTTCCCTATAGGGAAAATCATACAGTTTATGCGCTACTAAAATTATGTCATATAGGACTCAAAATTTGCAATGGATGGTGACCTCGTTGTCCATTTAGTAAGCGTGCTAATACAACATTGTTTGATCGACCGTGTCACGTTCTAAGAAAATTTCATAGCTGGAAACTTTCCAACACCGACAGATACGCCTATTTCAAGTATAAAATCTGAAGAAGATATAGTCTGCTACAAAATTAGTTCAAGAAAAAATGTTTTTGTGTATGTCTTCTTAAAAACATATTTTAAAATAAAGGCATCGAAAGTCAATGTGAAAAGTTCATGCCAATGAGGTTGCCATTTTTTGCAGAGTATAGTTTTTGAAAGCGGCCAAAAAGAAGTCGGTACGAAAGCTGATATACTGGTATGCTGAAAATACCTTTACATTATGCTGTACGACAAGTCGTGTTGTAACACTACTTAATTAATCGTTCTCAATAAGAAACACATTTTAAAATAGGCAGAATGTTATTACCGACAAAGACAAGGGAGACTGGAATGGCCATTTCTGGCTTATTAGCCGTCGTCAGCCAGTCATACCCAAGCCCGAAGTGTGAAACTTCCGAGCCTCGAACTCGCGAGTTGTTGGTTTAGAAGTCCACGCCTCTACCCACCGGGCCACGAGCCCGTTGTCCTGTCGGTTTTCGATCGGGAATATACAATGGTAGGGGCTTGGGTATGACTGGATGACGACGGCTAATAAGCCAGAAATGGCCATTCCAGTCTCCCTTGTCTTAGTCGGTAATACCATTCTGCCTATATATCATGCACCGCTGTGTGGCTGTTGGTTGGGCTCGAGAGAGAGCCCTTAAGGCACAACGGAACGAGTGAGTTCCGTATGAACGATCGGTGAGCGCCCCCTACCATTACCACATTTTAAAATTTCGGTCAACATATTATAAGATAGCATATATACCGGATGTTATTAACTGGCAGTGGTCCCTTGAGTGTCAGCGCACTATCTGTGCTGGCACCTATATTTTTTAAGTAGTAGAAGTTTAAAATTAACGTTCTATAATCTGGTGTTTAGTTAAAGTTTTTAAAGTTAGAAGGGACGCTCGCAAAGTGCGGTATATTTGAGCCATGCTGTTTCGAGTAATGATTCTGTCTATTTGTGTTTAGCGGACTTCATAGTTTTATGCAGTGCACTTATCATATGGTGCACTTTCCCTGATGCGTAGGCCACTATTGCCAGCAGTGAGACTGAAGATGATCTCCGTTTTACAGAGCCCCCATGTCGGCGAGTTTTGGTCCTGAAGCCCCACTTGAGGGCTAACATATGCTTAGCTTTCTAAAGCGATTGTGGTAGATGTGAATAAGTGGACTTTATAAATGCCACAGATTTACATCATCCTTACGATTTTAATCGAGCCAGTGACCGCGCCACGGGGGAGGAGTTCTTATACGCCAGCCTTGGTTAATTCAGGTATCAGCTCACACGCGCTTCGTTGAATTCTCATTATTATCCTATTCCAACAAGTGGCCAAGAGGACTTGCTAGTGGAATTATTCCGACGGTGTGGAACTCTGTCGTCTCCACTTCAGTGGCGACGCACTGAGAATTATCATGCAGCTCCCTCCGTTGCCTTCCAGCCGTGATTGCACTCTTCGTGCAGCACAGTTCCGAGATATTTAAGTCAACTCAGGATGCAGACTGTCCACCAAGCTTCTTTTCAGCTGTCCGCATAAACTACCCTCTGTAAAAACAGTTACTTACGTAGTATGAATTGTTACCATTTATGTCCGATGACCTTGTAAACTTAAATTAATCTTATGGAAAACATAAACGGACATCTTCTTTCTTGTCGCGGGAAGTGTGTTTACATGCCACCCTCACTTGCATCCCTGTACGTGCATCGGGCTCTGCTTGCGCTCCCTTTCTCTTCCTAATCCAGCGAGTGGCTAAGTTATATAAGTTTACTAAAGTTGTTTTAGTAAGCTAAAAATGTGGTATTACTTAGGTGGGGCTGCAGAACCAAACCTCGCCCCCGCCCCTGGCGATGATTGTTGCATTTAGTCCTTGTTCACTGTCAAGGTGGTTCGTAAAACCAGGGAGTGAGGGGCAAATCGATTCGGCGGTTGACTGAGCAGTTGATGAACATGCTATCGATCTTAATATTGCGTCTTTAACGTCGCGGAAGTGGAATTTACCGATTTACGATGGTTGCAGAACGACACACGAGGCAATTTCGCCATGGCTTGGAGATCCAGTTACGTATTATGTCAACTCAAACATTTACTCCAGAGGTGACATTTGGGGGGAGGAGGAATGTTGAGTCTCCCGTTGTATCGCTCGTACTAATTATCGATCAGATGTTGGGGAACACAAAAAGTTGATTTAATCTTTAACTTTTCCCTGCGTTTTTCGTGAACCCTCTACATGGGTTGGCACCTCAAATCCAAGTAGGGCCTAGAATTTAAACCCAATGGAAATGGGTGTGATTAAATGTTTAAGCGATTTAGGCAGGCAAGAAAATGTTTTAATTTTGGCAAAAAGACAAATTATTTTGAGTTCGCTAGCATGTGCTCCTCACTCTGTAAAAATGAAGGGGGACTGACACTTAATGATTAGACTGAACATGAGAGCTCTCAAATATGCACCTAGGTGTGTGTCAATTTTGTCCTATAACGAAAAAGAAAGAGAAATGGTCAGGTTATGCTCTTTTGATTATATCAGCAACATTTCTCAAGAAAGATTATTTTAACAATCAGTTTCTATTTTATTTCATCAATCTTTAAGAAAGCCTTGGAAGCTAGATGAATTACTGCAGCCAACTCTAGACACCTGTAAATCATTAAAATATTACCGCCAGTTTTAGGCATTTTTTAACAAACACACAAACTATCGTCGAATATTTCGAAAAAATGTGTGCCGACTAGACGATACTTTTCAAGATATGTTTTAAATTGTCAGTATATGCAAGCGGCAAATTTCGGAAAGTATTTGGGAATAAAAAGACTCCATCACAGGGGTCCGGACTTTACTCGTAAGACGTTATTCAGTCACGCTTGATTTAGTCATCGGAGACAGCAATATATTTGCTTCTGACACAAATTTGTTTTGCAAAAGTTAAGACTCCTATGCGTTGGCGGACATGTTGCGGTAAATGATTCCGGTTATTATTCTTGAAAAAATTCATGAAGACATGTAGTTAATGTAAGTGATTTTACAAAATAATCTGATCGTAAACTGCAAAGAAAACTTGCAATTATCATCCAAACTAGCAAGTGTAGATTTCGCTGTTATGAACACAGGAGCCTCGCTTCACTAATGGTCTAAAAGGCTTTGGTAAAAGATGGTAACCATACACTCGTAATTTCTGACGGATACTTCGACGATTTTCTATTGGACAGCATACGAAAACACGTTTTCGCTTGTTCGAATTTTATCTCCTTTATCGTTAGTTCAGTTATCATCCCGAGAATGTTTAGGAGCCAAATATTTGTCGATTTCGGCGTAACACTCAATCATTAATGCGTGCGTGAAGGCCGTGAGGTGTTACAGGTGCTTCTGCACAAATTAGCTGAAGATGGGATAAAGCTAGTTACCATGGCAACTCTCCAACCCCAATTGAACTGACAAGTCTGTTGCTGACCTTCATGTCCAATCTGGCGCCAGCAGTTTGTGCACATGTGACCCAGTTTTAACATTTATGTGGCTCGGAAACAATCGTGACCTCAAGGAAATCGCAGAAGCATTTTACAGTGTCCGTTCTCAGCAGGTGCCATGGATGTCCTGACTGCGCTGGCCGTCCGTTTTAACCCGGTAGCCTAAGGCTTACGTCATCGCAGCTACTGTCTGTCAGAATTTCACCCACACACACACACGCGCGGCTTTTTCGAATACTTGGCGGACATAGAGGTAAAAAGGGGCGGAGACCTCTTACGAGATAGCTGACTGATCATGCAATTTTTCACATAATGCCCAGAGTTCAACATGCGTGCTTTAAGAGGACACACAGGTTACAACAGTTAGTTGAGAGGCGGAGACAAGAAGCACGGTCTGTCCTGGCTTTTCTGCCGTACTAGGCCAGGAACATCCCTGACCCAAGTTAAGGAGAGCAGGTATCAGATGATGATGAAGAAGAAGAAGAAAAAGAAGAGGATGAAGATGTGATCACTGGAAAAAAAAATTATTGGCCTTACGTTTCGGATTCTTACTGGAACCAATCTTCAGAGACGGTCGCAGATAAGGGTAGTGGAGACACAAAGACTGTAGTATTTATAATACGTAGTCGTTGTGGGGCCACAGTCCTCGCAACCGCCGCTTGTTAATGGATTGCGGGCCTGAAAACCACGATTCGAGCAGCTCGCGGCTCATGCGGTTTTCAGCTCTTGCGAGGATTTCGACCTCTTGAATGACCTCTCGAATGAGGTTCGGTAGAATGAGCTGCTGTCTAAGAGCTGGTGTCATTCCTCCTCATCGCTGCTGCGCGCTCAGCCATGCGCGTCCGAAGTAATCTCCCAGTTTCTCCGACGTACTTGACTTCCTTGCAGCTGTATCAGGAATTTGTTCTGAGATAAATTCTTCAACCAAGCATAGGCAACGAATCGACGTCCAGTGGTCTACGATTGGTAATGACTATAGTCACATGAAGTGGTGCTCACCGTCTACAGTTCACGTACTGTTAAACCTATTTCTTTTTAAATCAGAGAAATTGAAAGCAGATGTCGGAATCTCCATGAGGTGTAGGGCTGTCCCACACAATAAAGACTATCTGAATTTTTATTAAGATTCCATGTTCAGTGACCGATTTCCCACACAACTTAATTTTAAAAATCATCATTATAAAAGGGTCCCTTAGAACTAATGGGCAATTCACTTCTCACTAAAAACTTCCACAGTGTGAAGTACGCGGAAGGTACCCCTGATCTCCATCAACAAATAACCGAAATACCAGCAACCTTAAGTTGATGTTTTGAAGCCAAAACAGAAGTGGGTAGCCCAAATAAAATACCAACTGTTTCGTGGTAAACTATTTAGTACCAAAACAGCAAGCCTTAGTTTAACCAATATAATCTGCCATCTATCAACAGCAGCATAGGAAAATTACCATAAAATTGTCTTGGTGGATTAACTCACCAGGTGCTCTATCCTTCTGCCATTCATTTACGAACATTTGTTGCTGGGGAGGTTTAAAGGGTTTTACGAATCTGTAGTCGCATCTGCACCCAAAGCGCGGCAACGCAGTTGGCTGTCGGCAGACTGTGGACCGTGGACCGTGATGACTGGCAGTCGTGCCCAAGAGCGGAGAAACAAAAAAGTTGGAATCAACTGACCATGAAGTGAGGGAGAACAGAAATGTCTGCTAGAGGATAGGCTAAGCTGTTCGAGGACCGGGCACTCTTTCAAGACATAATGCCACTGGATATCGTACCGGTCAGATGGGCTTATATAGTCGCACCTGATGTAAACAAGCCTCAGTCACCTGTAATAAGGGACCGGTGGTGATAGGGGTTTATAGAGGTGAGGCCGAGGAGCGCATAGACGACGCAGTAGGGCACTTGTATGCAAAAGAAATGCTATTGGGAATGCGCGGTTGTACTTTGTGTGGTTGAGAAATAGTTGCCCTAATCCTAATCCAAATCCTAGCCTCTAACCCCAACCTTCAACTCTGATCCCTATCCCCTCAACCCCAACCCAAGCAGTATTGTGTCCATCAGGTGGCAGCTACATAACCACCTCTTACCTTTGCATATCGCGCGTTGAGAAATGTTAATTTCATGGTCTTTGCAGATTCTGTAACTTGAGTGTTGAAGAGGCCATCTCGAAAAGTATTGCCTTTCCCACCCAGGCAATATCGTACTGAGCTTACAACTGGGCACCTTTGAGATAGTTCTGCAAGATTGTTGGTCGAAGCACTGGGCACCGTTCACAGCTAAGAGTCGCTCTCCCTAACCCTAACTCCTAACAGTATTGTGTCCATCAGGTACGGCTGCACAACCACATATTACCGCCGTATCTGCATACATCCAGTATTCAACTCGAAAGTATCGTTTTTGTCCTGAACGTCTTCCTAGTTTCCCTGCATCCCATCGGCTTACTGTCCAGCATGTTGCCCCACCCGTAGAATGCCCATTACCATTACAATCATTCCCGTATGACACGATCCACAGTATACTGACAGCTAATTGGAGTCCTTCACTCTACCGTTGCCCAAAGTGCAGCTTAGCCGTCTCTGGAGGAACTGTCATTTGCGTTAATCTACGCTGTCGTAACCGCCGGGGACGTACATTGACAGGGCTGAATTTTTTTTAGGCAGGCTTCCCAACACTCGACTATAATAGTAAGAGTTGCGAAAATTCCCATAGCAGTAATTAGAAGACGAGGTGGCGAGCATACGTAGTTTTCGATAAATTCTTGTCGGGCCAGTTCAGTGATATGGGAGCAGGGTAGAAGAAAAATATGTCAGCGATAAAAGAAATCGATAAAATTTCGCCTTTAAACGCAGGCGGAGTGTGGGAATGTGGGGGGTTGGATAGAAAGGGGGGAAGGGGAATGATAGCAGTCCGTTTCAGGGGCGGGGAAACTCCTAAGGAGACGTATTGATCAAGCTGTCTCGAGAACCATCCCAGCAGCAAGGGTTCAAATAGCACCTTCAGACACCGGTGGTCCTACGTCTTGGTTGCATTCAAAATCCCAGTTAAGGTACAAACCCGCATTAGAACAGGTGTGATGGATACTCAACAACTCCCCCACTCCCCCTCCCACAAGCCCATCACATCGTTTTTTGGACAAATGGACGGATCTGAAGCCCTTAGGCTTATAAGTAGTTGTGCATGGCAGTCGTTTTCCCTCGAGTAACTTTGACTAGAGAAAGATCTTTGGATGCCGGAATGCTTGACGTATCTGCCCAGTTTATTCTTTGAAGCAGTACTTGTTCGAACCTGCCACCATATAACTGTCGGTAGATAAGGACAAAAGCAATACTTATTCCGTTACATGATGTGGGTTCTCGCTCGTGTTCTCAGAAGAAGAACCGTCAGGGTCGTATTGAGAGGAGAACTTTAAAAACTGGTCAGTGAGTTTTGCAACTCTCCAATCTCGCATAAATGCCCTGAATTGCAAATAAGCGCGGTAAGATGCGGTTATGTAGCCCCACCTGATGAACACAATACTATTGGGGGTTAGGTTAGGGGTTATGGTTAGGGGTTATGGTGGTTAAGGGATAGGGTTGGGGATTAAGGCAACTATTTCTCAACCATTCAGCGTACAACCGTGCATTCCCATTGGCTTTTCTTTTGCGTACACCTACTTGACCTCGGTGCCTGTGCGTCCCCCGGCACCTCTTGTGAAAACCCCCAATTACCACCGGTCCCGCATTTCAGGTGACTGGGGTTCGTTTACTTCAGGTGGGGTTACACAACCACATCTGACCATAATCCCTTGTTTAAACCCACAAATGCGTATCGCATTAGTTTCAAAAAGGAGGTATCTCTTCAAATGTAGACCTGGAGATCTATCCAGTGCCCATATAAACCCCTAGGTTTCCGTTTTAAGAGTCAGAATCTTGTTTTACTCAATCTCATATTTCAGAAGATAATATTTGAAAGACTACCCTTCTTCCTTGTTTATGATGTGTTTACTTGTTGCAAGGACAATTCCACACTGATAGCCGTATATAAATCATGAAATCTGAATTCCCTCTGCAACTTTTTGAGGCTAGATTATGCAGAGAGCAAGTAGACTGAAAATAGCCATCCCTTTCTAGAATCAACTGTATCGTGCAAACACGACGACCTGCAGCACCATAACAACGTCGCTACTCAGTGCCGTTCCTATTGTCTGCGGGCATTGCACCAACAGAACCGACGGCCAACAACGTCAACCCGAATTAAAACCCACATGTACAATAGATGGGCTTACTTATGAAATATCAAATGTAATTCCAAAATGCGTTTTCGTTTCGAAAAGATTAATTAAGTAGGGTTATAAAACCAATCGTCGTGCAGGAAAATTCTCTCACAATTCAGTCACCTCAGGATGCCGGCTTTCAAACAAATTTCTTATCGGCTGCATGCAGGAAGTATACTCTGTAAAAAATGGCTACTTAAAAAGCATGCTTTTTTCTCATTGGTTTTCGATGCCCTTAAAAATTCAGTTATATTTCATGGAAAACATGCATTACAATGGTTATTCTTTTGCTCATTCAGTAGAAAATTACGTCATCTTTCAATATTTGTTCGAAAGAAGAGTATGCTTCGGTTTTCAAACGTTTTCGAATCCCCGAATAATTCTGAACCCGACCTGCTGTTACACTTGCAGTCGGGGTCTCGATACTACAAGCCGTATATTTTCCGCGCACGGAAAACCATACATTTCTCTACGGTATTAGAGGAGATCGTAAAGAGTTTATAAAATTTAGCAGTGGATTTGATCCACATTGTTAACTTTCCAAGCCACACTGGTAAATGCAGAGACATGACGTTTTACGAACGGCCATTTCATGGTGTTAAGAAATATCACAATTATAAACTTTTGAGACCGAAGTTTACTCTTCCTTCGAGTGCAAAATTGGAATAAGACGTCATTTTCTGCGGACTGAGTAAAAGAATGAATATTTTTCCGAATGTTTTCCATGAAATATGATTGAATTTTTAAGGTCATCAAAAATCAATTGGAAAAATGAATGCTGCATAAGTAGTTATCCTTTACAGAGTGCAGTTCTTGCATTCAGCCCGGAAGAGGTTAGTTCGAAAGCCGGTATCCTGAAATAACTGAATTATTAGAGAAATTTGCTGCTAATCGATTGTTTTACAAAACTTACTTTATCAATCTTTTCAAAACGAAACGCTTTTTGGAATTTCGGTCGACATTTCATGGGTTAGCCCATCTACTGTATAAACGTGAATTTCCTACTTAACCCTGAATTATTTCAGTAAGAAAATTTGTCCACATATCCATGCGTCATTGTTGCTTTATAAAGCTACCACGTCCTCTTTTTTCTTCGGCTCTGTGACGTGCGATGTCACCGGGCAAATAATTTAGGTCAGCATGCTTTCAAGTATAACAATTTTGGTAGACAGTCTAGTGCCAGGTGGACCAGTAGGGCGTAGCCAAATTAATTTGAATGTGCTTTTGAAAGTATCATCTCCGAGTTAGTAAAACCAAACAAGGAGGTCTACCACGAGGATGTACAGTAGGTGTGCTAACTCATGTCAACCGAAATTCCGAAATGCCTTTTCGTTTCTGAAAGATTGCTTAGGTAGGGATGTGAAAGTAATCATCATGCAGCCTAATTCTATAATAATTCCATTTCCTCGGGATGCCGACTTTCAAATGATTTTCTTTCCCGGCGAATGCAAAACCACAATCTGTAAAACGTAACTACTTAGGTAGCATAAACTTTTCTCATTGATTTTCAACGCCCTTAAAAACTCAATTATATTTCATGGAAAACATGCATGCAATATTCATCCTTTTACTCATTTGTTAGAAAATTACGTCTCCTACCAACTTCATACTCGCAGAAAGAGCATCATTCAGTTTTAAAAGTTCCTAACTCTGAGATTTTTTAATGCCGTTAGTAAAATAGCATATGTCTGCATTTGCTAATGTGGCTTGTAAAGTTTACAATATCGCTCAAATCCGCTGCTAAATTTCATGAACCCCATGGGGTCTCTTCTTAATATCGTTGAGAAATGTAAGGTTCTCCGTACGCAGCAAATACATGACTTGTAGTTTGGAAAGCCTGAATGCAAGTTTAACGGCAGGTCAGATTCAAAATTAATCGGCAATCGGAAACGATTTTGAAAACCGAATAATGCCTTTTCTTGGAGTATAAAATTGAAAGAAGACTTAATTTTTTATTAAATAAGCGGAAGAATGAATATTTTTATGCATGTTTTCCATGAAATATAATAAAACTTTTAAGGGTATCGAAAATCAATGAGAAAAATACGTTCTACATAAGCGGTTACTTTTTGCAAAGTGTGATTTTTGCATGCGGCCAGTTAGTTAGAAAGCCAGCATTCCGAGGTACCTGAATTATTCTAGAATCATGCTGCGGTATGATAAATTTTACAAGCCTACTTACGTAATCTTTCCGAAACGGAAGCGCATTTCAGAATTTCAGTTAGCATTTTATGAGCAAGCACACCTACTTTAAACAACAACCATGGGCGAGGTTTGGTTCTGCGGACTTACTTGATTGATACCATATGGTTAGCTTCCTCAAACAACTTTAGTATATGCGATTTCGTTGACCTTGCACATATCACGTATTTGCGCCTTCCTTGCTATTTCAATCCAGCGAGTTACTGTGCCTCGGGCTCAGGTGGGGGGGGGTCCATATACGCCATCCCCGGTAACATCAGTCGTCAGTTTTCATGCGCTTCCCTGAGCGTGCTTCAAGCCCAACTTGTGCCCTCGTTATTAGTATTATCTTAATTAGGCGAGTGGCTAATAAGGCTTATTAGTGGCATTGTTCGGGTGGATTGGAACTCCGTCGGTTCCACTATAGTGCTGCGAATGGGCACGCGATTCTCGCCGTGGCCTTCCAGCCGTGATTGCTTTCTCCTCATCCTCTTAATCCAGCGAGCGACTATGTCACGGGGAGAGTGTGTACACGCCACCTTCTCTTACACCAAGAATCGGTTCACACAGGCTTATTTGCGTCTGCTTCGAGCTCCGCTTGCGTTCTCTTCCCCTCCCAATCCAGCGAATAGCTATATTGGGTATGTTAAATAAAACCGTCTTCCTTGTCTTTGTCGGTAATACTATTCTGCCTATATATCATGCGCCGCTGTGCGGCTGCTGGTTGGGATCAAGAGAGAGCTCGTAAGGCACAACGGAGCGAGTGAGCTCTGTAAGAATGATTGGTGAGCACCCCTCTACCATTAAATAAAACTGTTTTAGGAAGCTAACCGCATGGGGCTACAGGACCAAACCTCACCCAACCATGCAAGCAAAGATGTCGGGGCGAGTTGGAATTCCAATTGTACACGCCTTACGTGTTCAGCATCTACCTCTGCGGATTGGATCCCAAATATTCCCAAGGAATTGCTGGTTTAATTGACCTTTGAGCGAGAATGACTGGACGCTGCCGACACCCGCCCACTTGCGGCGGCTAAGGCAGCGTTCACCATCTCAGCTCATTCCTCCAGCACAGCATCCTTCATAGGAAACCGAGGGAATTTGCGTTGTCGGAAGCAGAACCTAAATGCCACAAAAAATATCCCCATTACACTGCATGCGGCCGTGTGTGCGGTTGTCTATGTGCGCGCAGAAAAAAGAGTTCTACCAGGATTGCCTTCTTCTCCTTCGCCTGTCCGCACTGCTGCTTCTCGGTTGTGGGCACCAGATTGTTTCACACCCTGTCGACATGCCGACTACCCCCTGCCCCCCCCGCGCCGACCCTCCGTGTGGTTTGCCGATATGGCGCTAAATTAGACGCACTTCCCCGTCAAATGCTTCCGTCGCCCGCCGCCCCCTTTGGTGGTCGTCCCACCCCACCAGTCGCACGTTGAGTGCGCGTACGCCACCGTTTATGTGCGGTTACGCTCCTTGTCAGATCGGATGCAGGAGGCGATGGTGCATAGATATCTTTACGCCGCGGTCGGGGGAGGGGGGGGGGGAGCGCGTCTTGATGACTCATCGCAGGTAAGTGCTGATGATAGAGGTGGGGTTAGACCGTCCCTTGGGCAGGTTGAAGCAGGAACCACGATCCGCCACCGAAATGACGCCAAGCATGGTACCTGTAGAGGCGCTAGCAGTACGTCCGAAAAAGCCTCCCGTACGTGACTAAGCACCCGGAGCGGGCAGAAACTGGGGGACTTTGCCAGCTAGATGGTCGTTCTTTTGATGATGATTATAAAAACAAGACTCCTGTCAAAAAGAAAGTAGTAAATGACTGGCAGTGGTACGTTTGTTACCAGCGGGAGCTGCCCACCGCTAGATGAGCGAGAATGAAGGTCGTATTACCCCTTGTAACATAAGTGAGGAGGAGGTACTCTCAGACAATTTAGGGGATCCGCGACTGACCAACGTAGGATTACTAACTTAGGTGAGTAGTATAGGAACAGATAGAAAGCCATACGTACGGGCAGTCAAAAATTGGGTAAGATTTGGTTTGGTAGCCTCACCTGACGGACAGAATACTGTTGGGGCCGGGGTTAAGGGTTAGGGTTAGGGGTTATGGTTAGAGGTTATAGTTAGGGGTTAGGGTTAGGGGTTAACGCAACTGTTTCTTAACCATTTAAAGTGCAACCGCGCATTTTCAATAGCTTTTCATTTCCATACAACTACTTGGCCTCGTCGCCTGTGTGTTCCCCGGCTCCACCTGTAAAAAACCCTTAGTACCACCGGTTCCGTATTAGACGTGACTTTGTTTTGCCTACTTCAGGTTGGGCAGCAATTCGGAATACTTGTCGGCTAGAAGGCTGTTTTTTGATAATAATTACAAAATCAAAACCCCAGAGTAAAAAGGGGGTAGCGGCAAGCTGTGATTGTGTAGCTCCACCTGATGGACACAATACTGTTGAGGTTGGGGTTACTTGTTAGGGATTTGGGTGGCGGCTAGGGGATATGGTCAGGGGTTGGGAGTTAAGGTTAGAGGTTAGAGTTAGGGTTAGGCGTTAGAGCAGCTATTTATCAACCATTCAAAGTACAGCCACGCATTTCCAAAAGCTTTTATTTTGTATAAAATTACTTGACCTTGTTGCTTATGCGTTCCCGGTCCCACCTTTAAAAACCCCTACTACCACCGGTCCCGTATTTCAGGTGGTTGGTGTTTGTTTACTGCGGGTGGGGTTACATAGCCACATCTGACCGGGGCAACTAACTGGCTGTCGTATGTAAGCCCACAGAGCGAACAGCAATGTGGTATACTTGCTAGCTTGAAGGTCGTTCCTTTCATAATAATTGCAAAATCAAGACTCCCGGGTGAAAAGAAAGGAACAGCTAACAAACAGTCATATATTTGCTGCCAGAGAAGAGCTGGCCACTGCTAGATGAACAAACGGGGGCATTTTCACACAGTGTGAAGAAGTGCCAGGAAGGGGGAGGGGGTAGGATTATTGACACAGGTCGGATTCTGATGACATAGGAACTGATGGCAAACCCCAACTTTTCCAACAGAATTAGATGACATAGCTGACATACTGGGAGAACACACTGTGAGGCCTCGGATACACCTGTAGGCAAACGCGAAGACCTCTCTGTCTCGCATTAAACCAGACGGCCTTGAATTGAAGTCTGATTTCTAGGCTGAGTGCATCCGATTCAGATGTGAAATTGTTTTTGAAGGCTTGGGATTATAATCAGGATGCCTCGCCACCTGTCATTTGCATTTTCTGAGTACGCCACGCCTTAAACGATGTGGCCTGGTCCAGTAGCTCGGGACTACGAGCGAGGCTTCTCTGTCAAGTAGTTGGGCTGTGTACCGTGGGGGCACGTAGTCGGGGCTCGCTTTAGACGAACATTTTAGTGTCCTGGTCTCTGTTTTTTGCTCGTCCTTGATACTTCCCGTGCCATTTGGTGCGCACAGACTCAGATGGAAGACGGTGTATTCCTCCGAAGATGAGAAATTAAAGGACGAAGTCCAAGTAAATTCATTTGAGATCAGTAAATGCTCATGAGTGTCAGGGATAGCAGGGTATTCTCGTTAGCACTAGGGATGGTGGTTGCAACGACTACGACGACGACGACGATGATGATGATGAGGAGGAGGAGGAGGAGGAGGAGGAGGAGAAGAAGAAGGAGGAGGAAGAAGAGGAGGAGGGGGAGGAGGAGGAGGAGGAGGAGGTTAACGATGACGAGGATAATGATGATGAAGTTGTGCAAGATAAGACAGAATACATAAAGACCGAAAAACTTATTGATATCAAGTCAAAAAGCTCGCAGACGATGAGGAGGACAAATTGTGGAATGCTTAACAAAAACTGAAGACAAAACAACTCAGTGACAGAAGGGACAATAAAAGTTCGGTCAGATGTATTTATGTTGCCGCACCTGGGGTAAACAAACCCCAACCGCCTGTACTACGGGACCGGTGGTAATAGGGGTCTTTATAGATGGGGACGGGGAATGCACAGGCGACGAGCTCAAGTAATTGTGTGCAAAAGAAAAGTTATTGTGAATGCGTGATTGTACTTTGAGTGGTTGAGAAATAGGTGCCCTAACCCATAATCCTAATCGCTAACCCTAGTCCCTCATCCTAACACTAATCCCTAAGAGTATTGTGTTCATCAGATGCGGCTACATAACCACATATTACCGACAGTTCTTTATCTGGTCGCTGATTACTGTATGCCTTCCAGTTTAGTCTCCCATTTAACAGTAGCTAAAAGAGATAATCCCAACGTCGGCGTAATAATTATTTCTGGCTTATCAATACCGAACCCATTAGAAAATTACCGAAAGTTCGACAAGTCTGCCAGTCTGTATTTCTAACAAGTCCACCAGGCTTAATCTTTGGCTGGGCTTTTGAACGCGCTCCGTATGGGTGTTTGTGTACGGATACCTGTGGCTTTTGCATACTCTGATCTGAGTCCCCGCTATTCTGCAAAGGGAAACCAGAAATAGATCACTATGACAAATGTTTGCCCTCATGTTATCTACGCTCGTCTCCAACGCCTCCACATAGCTCTTTTGCCAAACACAGCCGTAACATTCAGAACAACATGGCTGGAATTAGTCATTCGCCCTTAATCAAGGCCTAGAACTGACTCACCTCCAGATATGCCATCTTGTGCATTATATGTTCTGCCCCTTCTTGCCGCTTCCAAGAGCCGTATTTCGACCCTGATTGCCGCCATTTTTTGTGGAAGCCTGGCTTCTTAGTCGAACACTGTTTCCATAGAAACGCGAGGGAGAATAATAAACTGCCTGCCACCGGAAGGTCAGGGGATTCTTTATCACAGAGAGCCACTCACACCCCATCCCCCATATTTCACGCTTGAATGGGGACGTTTCGACGGGTGATGAACAGCGCGGGAGGCTTTCGTCGAAGAGTGAGAACGGCATCGCCACAGAACAAATCGGCGCATTTCTCACTACAATAAAGTTTGCATACTTAAATCTCGCACGACTTGGAAAGCTGCCAACCAACTCGGCAATTCGGTCCTTGGTGCCTGCGGAGTAGCTAACTGGCGGTCTGAGAGACAGGCTCAATGGGTCCTCCTTAATATGGCTTTAAATACACACTCATCTGTGTAAAATCCGAGTCTTCCACATGTAAACCGGGAGCATCTGAGCGGAGACAAGGTTGTGTGTGGCACGCATAGACGGGCGTTTAGATTTATCGGCCACTGCGCCCACACCCATCTCCGACCATCTTAATGCTGTCTTGTCACCTTGGCAGGGTAGGTGATCGGGGCGCGGGTGTGGTAGGTGCTAAGCAAGTCCGTTTTTTCGCAAACTGATCCACGGGCTAATTATTGATGTTGCACCTATTCCGGGGGGTAGGCAGTGTACGCCGTCTCTTACAACAGTCGAAGTACCAAGCTCCCGTTGACACAATGCCCCAAGCGTTTGACCATGAGAGCAGAGGTTTTAGGTGAACACTATATGAATTCAACAGACAGTTTGACAAGCGTACTTTTGCATTTGATGAGTTCTCTTCAAGCCTGTACATTCATATTGCTATCTAAATTGTTATCAATGAAACTTGGGCAAGTAGAAGTTATTCTGCAGGTGGAATTTGCGAAACGGTTGGTGGGTGGAGTGAAGAACAAAATTACCGCCAATGTCGGGAGGAGGGAGATGGTAGGTATGCAGAGGATTTATTGGAAGCAAACGTACGCTTGCCAAACATGTCTTTCGAATTCTTCAATGGGAATTTTCACAACCATGTGAACTGGATCGCAGACGACCGACACGAACGGGAAGTTATGAAGCTTCACTTTCACAGCGAGCTTTTGTTTAAACGTGTCGATTTTCATCCGAAAGAACTACAGCAATCACCTCCAGAACAAAATTTATTCCGGCTTCATCGCCCGCGAATTTTCAAGCCTCACTTTTTGCACTATAGCTGGCGTCGGCGCACTATCTTCAGCACATAAAACCACTTTCCCACAATTTCGGAGACCAAATTATCTGACAAGATCAAATTTTTCATTGGGGAAATTCATTGAGAACTTGCGGACGCTAAATTTTCAGGCAACTGAAAAAAACGTATGCTTGAAGATGGGTTAATTCATCTCTTTAACCCAATAGGCTCGTAATAACAATGTTTCTCACCCCCCAGTTTCAAAGCAACTTACTCTCCAAGAGAAGCATCGCACTTAAGTTTCCTCAGTTTATGAAACGCCAAGAGCAAACCAAGGTTAAAAACTCACTAGTGATAGTTGTAAAAATTAGGGTTTAATTGAATAGAAGTACGTTTAGTATTGTAGACATTTAAAAAAATACGAGGTGTTCGCCAAGAAAGTAACGCCATGGAAAACGCAAGACCCGTGTGCTCGACGAGTTCCTACCTCTTCGAGAAACAGAGATCTTGCCTACGACGTCACTTTTGTCCTGCAGTTATGGTAGTTTTCACAACAAACAGCTAATGCATGTGCTCAGAGAAACTCCTTTCCTCTTTCCTTGTTAACTTCGACACGGTGACAAATTATCACACCCCTAAGACCATAAATGCACATCACAGATAAGGAACCATCCGTGTTCCTATTTGTCTAGCCCTCTCAACGGACCAATAAACGCTAATCAGTCTTGGATCTCCGAAAAGGCCAAGTTGGGTTGCTGTTAGCACAGCAGCTAT